TATTACGTAAGTAGACGTAGATAGCTCTCTATTAAAAAGCAGCGCTTAGATAACGCGCTTAGACCCTTTAGTACAACCTTTCTCTAATAAGTAGATAAACATTACGCAAGTAGACGTAGATAGCTCTCTATTGAATATAACCTCTTGTATACTAAGCGATTGCTCCCCAGAGCGTAGCCCCTTACAATTAAGGTTAATTTCGACCTTAATCCCTAACAGGATTAAGAATAGAGATTACTCTTTACTCTAGCCTATATTGTCCCCTTACTAGTAGCCTACTTATATTATTTCTACGATATAGAATAGTAAGCTTACGTTTAAGCGCACCGTGACACCGCCGACGCCGCTGCCGCCTCCTCCCGCTCTCACCCCCACCCCCATCTCCACCACCCTCACTACCCTCGCGGGCATGTCGCGCGCCCTCGCTGCCGCCACACTCGAGCGTCTAGTACTAGGGTACCATAACAAGAGTAATAGCAGCTACGGGCCTATCATAAGAAACGAAGCCAGTTATCTACTAGCCCAAAATGGCGCAAATAAGGTAGTAAGAGGAGCTAAGAAGAACATATATTTGTACGCGGTCATACAGAGTCGAACCAGTCGAAGCCCCCGCCGCAGAACGCCTATAGGCTAGTAGTTATCGCCCATCATAGGTAATAACTACGATTCCCTACCTTCGCACACAATGCATAATTTACTAACTAGACCATAGTAAAGAGGGCCGCTAGCGCCTTTTAGGCGGCGAGCAGGCTAGTTACCGGTGCCACCAACCAACATGTATGCGCGTAGGCGCTGCCGGGGCAAGGACCCTATTATCAAGACGGTGGTGGATGGTGCGCAGTCGGCGTACGATTGTTACCTGCAAAAGATGATCATCCATCGCATGATACTTGCAGCTGTGAGTTATCGATTTCAGGATTCTAGAGCAGGGTGCGCCAACGGAGCGTGGAGGTCCACTCTATCTGGAAGGAGTTTAGCTGGATTGAATTCACTGAAATTTCCATCGATGTCACTCGACCCCTGTAGTATTTCCGCAACGCGCCGAACAAGGCTTTCTAAAGCGTCTACCCCTTGAGCTTGTATTTTATCTCGTAACTGCATCTATCGTCTTCCGATCATAGTTCTAAATTAAGGCAAGTCGTACATGGGCAATGCTGGGATGTCCCTAGAAGACGTTCCGACCTTCTGCTTTTAACCTAGGACAGCAAAGTGTGCGAGTACGATGCGGAAGGTACAGATAAGCTGGAGAACAGGAGCACAAGCTTTCGTCAAGCTTTCGGCCCAGGCGCCATCACGAATACGGAAGGTTTTAAGCTTTCGGTCAAGCTTTCGGCCTTTGCGCTGTCACGAATACGGATGGTAAAGAGATAGGTGTGCCAGGGCAAGGCGCCAATCACGACTCTGGGCGGGCGTTACGAGCAGCGCAACGTGACCACGCAAGTGCCCCCCCCCCCCCTCCTACACAGGCGAAGTTCACTGCTGGCCAGTCTGCGCACACCATTGCGAGCCCTGCAATGCAACCTGCAGCGTTGACAATCATCAGCCACTAAGGGGAGACTGGCCTGCTACTGCGGCATCCTACTCCCACATCAATTTGCCCATACAGCTCGCTAAGCCCATCGCTGCCTTATCCGTGCATTCCGCTGCGTTCAAACCACCAAACATGCATCGACCTTCCCAATTCCTACCTGGTCCCCGGACAAGTGGTAGAAGCCGTAGAGCTCTGTTTGGTAACACCGAGCTATGCGCTGCGATATAAAGTAGCTGGGCGACTGCCTATTCGCAAACATGAAGGTCGTCGGATCCATTGACGTACTAGTACCAAAATGATGGTGTTGAATACCCTCACGACAGTCTCAGCGCTGCTCGCTGGACTTGCCACTGCTGCGCCATCGACCAAAGTGGACAAGCGATACGTGGAGGAGCGCGATGGCGTCGTACACAACGTCTTCGAGCATGCGGCCACCGGCGCCAAGCTATCCTACGTCAAGAACTCTGGTATTTGCGAGACCACCCCAGGCGTAAACCAGTACTCCGGATATCTCTCGGTCGGACCCAACATGAACATGTGGTTTTGGTAAGCCGTTCATATATCGCCGTCGATCAAAACCTAAGACTTGCAGGTTCTTTGAAGCTCGCAACAATGCCTCCACTGCCCCTCTGGCCTCATGGTTCAACGGAGGACCAGGCTGCTCAAGCATGATTGGCCTATTCCAGGAAAATGGACCTTGCCACTTTGTTGACGGTTCGTCGACGCCATCTCTGAATCCTTACAGCTGGAATGAGTATGCAAACATGGTCTATATCGGTACGTAAATTCTGCATGATTGTCCTTTTGCTTGGTTGGTGCACTTGTTCTAACTCGATGTGCTATAGACCAGCCGATCGGAACCGGTTTCAGCTACGGATCTGATCCTGTCACCTCCACCGTTACGGCTGCTCCGTATGTATGGACATTCCTCCAGGCCTTTTACGCGCAATTCCCTCAATATGAAAACCGCGATTTTGGACTTTTTACAGAGGTACTGCCTCTCAAACACTGATCGCGAAACAAGCTAATACGTCTCAGTCATATGGAGGCCACTACGGCCCAGAATTTGCATCCTATCTCCAGCAACAAAATGCCGCCATTGACAGCGGCAGAGTCCAAGGCGAAAAGATCAATCTCGTTGCTCTCGGTATCAACAATGGGTGGACCGATCCTATCATCAGCTACAAGGCCTACCTCGACTACAGCTTGAACAATACCTACAACCAGATCATCACCCAGAGCGAGTATGATTCCTATCTCAACACGTACAACTCCGCTTGCGTGCCAGCGCTGAACAAGTGCGCGAGCTCCGGAACAAACTCCGATTGCTCTTCTGCAGAAGACACTTGCTACGATGACATTGAGGGCCCCATCTCGGAATCAGCCGACTTTGATGTTTACGATGTCCGAGAGCCGTCGAATGACCCATATCCCCCTGAGACATATGCCACATACTTGACAAACTCTGCTGTGGTCAAGGCCATCGGAGCCAAGAGCACGTATACCGAATGTTCCGACCCTGTCGACTACAATTTCTCATCGACCGGTGACGGTAAGTCTCTCGAGTTTTGCATGGAGATGACTGCTAATCACCACTAGACTCCCGAAGTCTGCTCCCTGCACTTTCCAGCGTTGTTCAATCAGGAATCCAAGTGTTGCTATGGGCCGGCGACGCAGATTGGATCTGCAACTGGATGGGCAATCAGGCCGCCGCAGAAGCTGTAACATATTCTGGATCGAGCGCGTTCAAGAGTGCCGCCATGACACCGTTTACTGTTGGTGGTACACAAACTGGAACGTTCAAGACCCAGGGTAATCTATCATTCTTGAGAGTCTTTGCCGCTGGCCACGAAGTTCCATACTATCGTAAGTTCTAGTGATGTTTCTGGATCTCCAATTGCTAATCCCAAGATAGAGCCAGCTACTGCCCTTCAGGTGTTCAAGCAGACTATGCAGAAGAAGGCAATCTCTTCCACGTAAGCCAGTCCTCTAACGGGATCCAATTTGACCTCACAAGTCTTTCCTCTTATGCTAGCGCTTCAGTGCAAGAGTTGTACAGATACACACTAGTCTAGAAATATCAAATTATAATTTCTTACGACAGCAAGCACAGTGTTAATAGGATCTACCGCCTCTAGCCCACTTTTCCCTTAGCTGGGGTTGCGCATCTCCTGCGCGGTGAGTACGCACTGCCTCTGTAGAGGGAGCGGCAAGAATTGTTGTATTTTTCTACTGATACAGAGCTATCTCTTCAATATTCGTCTGTAACGTGAAGCGAATCCAGTTGCCTAGAGTCACCACCTTGCAAATCTCTTTACACTCTACAATGATTATAGCAAAGTCTTTAAATATAGCATCTTTTAATAATATATAAAGCGGGTGTTAATTAGCTGAACTATTGCATGCACTAACTATATATAGTAGTAACTATGCCACTCTATAGACTTAGTATCTTAGCCACATCTGCAAGTCACCCCGTCTCTAGCTAAAGCAGCTAGTGGCAGCTCAACCTTCCTAAATGTCTACTATATAGAGTAATCTCTAACGAATCTATCTAGATTAAGCGCGACGGACTAGATTATACACTACGACGCTGTAACCTATAAAAAAAATAGGTAGTAGAAGAGAGACTGCTTTGCTGCTAAATCTATAGTACTGGCCACCGTTAGAGGCTATTATTTATAGCTTTTAAGCTATTAGCTATATATATAAACTACTAACAACAGACCTTAACATAATTATCTAAACTGTTATAGCTTATAGCAATAAGTATAGTAGAAAGAATTAGCTCTACACTAGGTGGGAAGCAACTAGCTTAGTATATTAGTAATAACCTAGCTAGACTCTAGTACTCTATCTAGTAGTAATTTTAACTTTCCTATGGGAATTAGGAAAGTAAAACTAAAAGGTAATACTAGTAGATCTAGATATTATCTAGGCTTCTATTAAAAGTACTCTTTAGTACCTATTATTACTATATAATATAGTATAATATAGTGATAGATTAGATATAGTTATTATATAGGAAGATAATAAAAACTAAAATTTATATAAGAATTTTCAGCTATATATTTAATAGCCTAGTAAACTAAGAGTAGATACTTAGTATAGAAGTCTAATATAACAATTCGCTACTAAAGATTAGATATTAGGTAGTAAAGGTACTAAAATTAACTTTAAGGTACTACTAGCTACTTAAGATACAATTTCTACTACGTACTTATAGACTACTAAAGTGCTACTAAAACTATCTATATATAATTAAAACTATTACTTTATTAAAGGGAAACACTATAGAATAGAGGTAGACTATTATACTACCTATATAAAACTAGTTCTTATATTTAATACTAATAATAACTCTACTTTAGACGTCTTAAAGTTAAGCTTATATAGGACCCTAAGTAATACCCTAGAATTCTTTAGCATTAATATTAAGATATTAGTTATAAGTATTATTTAGCTATAGAAATAGTAGGTTTATATTACGACTAGCCTTAGAATATAGAGGGCATCTCGC